TACTTTCTTCTCCGTTTATTTTTAAAGTCACGAAATGAAATGTAGGGTGGAATGAGATAACAGAGATGGGAAATATAGGCTCACATATACTGTTCTTCTAGTCCAGTATGTTCTGTTTCCACAGGGCTACTTGGACGAAAATTGCGAAACATTAGAAAAGACTTGGAAATCAAATAGAATTATCCATATGGGTCTAATAACCATGAAGCAACAGATTTTAAGAAGATATTGATACAAATCCTTAATAATTTGGACAAAAAATGTTGGAGTAGATGACGTCATTTACTCCATCCTTTTGTTCTTCCATCTTTTGAATCAAAATTTCTCTGATGTGGGACAATTCCAAAACAAATATTTTCCCGTAATTGTTCTTAATAGATATATGTGAGTCAATTGCTTGAAGTTTAGAAATAAGGCCATTTTCATGCAAGTACCACTTTAATGATTGCTATTAATTACCTGTACTTCATCAGGTGATTCATATCAAATAGTTGATTATCTTTGCCTTGGATGTCTTCATCTGGGTAGTTCCTTACCCCAGGAGCATGCTTATGAGAGGGATCAACTTCATCGTGCGTTGTATAGATATATTTCATCAAATGTTTCATGTTGAATGAATTATTGTCCTCGTCTTTTCCATCTGTGTCTTTGTAATCTCGAATTGTTCCGTAACCCGGTACTGGCACCACCGTTGGAGCTGGCCTCTTCTTACAACAAAGATACAACGCCAGAAGTAGCAAAATTAATAGAATGATGAAGAAGAACAATAGTAGTGCTGACCAATTCCATGGACCTTTTGGATCTGTTGGAACAACTATTACCAGATAAAAGAGAAAGCTTGTCAGTATTAATGATTGAAAACAATCTCATTTATAAAATATCTTAGAAATKTATTGTCCATGCAATGTGAGAATGGCAATTTACACAGTGCTCTACACACCTAATAGTTAAGAATACATGATTATTCGTTAAACTAATAAACACTACATTTTAACAAAAATGCTACGATTTGTATGAGTTAGTGGTTTTTAAAACGAGGCAGATAAACAAAGAAAATCTTTACTCACAAGCAGACTGCTTTGGGGGCCCCCCTCCTTTCTTTTTCTTCGCACAAGTTGCCCCTACATATCCAGTGTTGCATTTACAAGTTGGAATTGTAGCGTTGATTTGACATACTCCTTGGTTACAGCCGCCCACTTTACATTCGCAGCCAGTAATCAAGTTCTGTCTGAATTTAGAGACGGTAGTTTCAAGATCAAGATTTAAACCATTGTACCGTGCGTCTTTAAGACAACCTATAGATGTCAAGAAAATCAGGGTTAGGCATTGGTTTAGACAAAAAAAAGAAATTGTGAAACTTGTGGTAACCAACAAAAATCCTCACATTACATTCCGTTAAAAACGGTCATTATCAAGAGGCAGTATAGCCCCTCTTTTGCGTCCCCATAACCAAAAATAAAGAGATCGAAACAAGGCAAGCTTTGAGAGGCCTGTCCACGTAGACAGGCATTTATTATAATATCAAAAAATAGTAGTCTTTAAAGCACGTTACGTTATTGTTAAATACTTTTCTTTTTCTTACGTACCTCCATAGTCTGTGTGTACTGCCATAGATGAATTGGGATGAGTTTGATTCCGTAACGCAGCAACTTCCTTGTGAAGCTCGTCTCCATATCCATTTTTCACAAAAGCAAAATGATGACTTGAGTTAACGCTGGAGCTGCCACTTCCCGATCCACTACTTCCACTGGATCCCGAGCTGCTTCCACCGCTGCCACTACTAGAACCGCCACTACTTCCAGATCCTCCTCCTGAACTAGAGCTGTGTYTGCTTGTTATGGTTTTCTTAAGAGACGGCCCAACWGATCCTATCATAATGTGCTTTGATTTTTGAGATCTTATGGCTCGTACACTTTGACGAAATTCTTTGGCGAATGTTCCGCTGTAATCTTTGGATATCTCCAAAGATCYATTCTTTGCGATTGTAATCAACGTCGCACCGGAAGTGAGAAGCGCTGATGGAGCGGAACTTATTATTCGTCCATCCTCAAAACGAACAATCACTTTCCCGTTACTTTCAACGATTGCCTTGACAACTTTAAGAGCTGTTGTGTGTGGGATACCGCCGGTGAACAGACTTCCTCCTCCAAGGTTTAGCAGCTGGCTCGTTCCACCGGTGGTTCCGGCGTTTTTGCCACTCTTACCAACCTGWATGGATGCTGTATTACCGYGTCTTTTCACATACAGATCATGGGGTATTCCAGACGTTAGGTTTAGATTTGGAATACGGACCGTCCTCATGCGATCTCCCAGCCGATAAATAAAGCGAACTACGCCATCTTTGATCTAAAAAAAGAAAGCGGGACTGTATTCATAATCTACGTCCTCATAACGATACAAAATGCACAAGTATGTTCGCGCGTAATTCGTTTACCAAATATGCTTTGGAAAAAGCTGTCTTAAAAAAGTGAGAATCTCTAAACAAGGATTTTTCTATCATGGATACAAAACTCTATTCTGTCGTGTTGTTTAATGATGTTACAACCGAAGCCAAAATAGTCGAGTCGAATTGACTCCCTSCAACAATTAACAACCGGGAAGACAAAACATTGGTTCGGGAGGGAGTAAGGAGGTTGAAATAATTGCTTATCTAATTATATGAATCATTCACTGCATTCAATTAATAAAGCAAAGAATACTCACGTCGAGCCACCCAAATTCCGTTCCCAGGGCATTGCAGGCCACCAGTAAGAGAGTGTGATTATTATTTGTCTCATTTCGAAGACGAAAACGTACAGCTATATCCGTCTTGTAATCACCTGTCAAGGGCGTCTTTGCTGCAGGAACACCAACTGGTGGAGCCATTAAACTTCTGCGTTTTCTACTGGGGGATGTAGAATTTGAGGACGATGATGAGGTAGAATTCGAGGAAGACGACGAAGATGACGAGGAGGAAGATGAAGACGAGGAGGAAGAAGATGACGAGGAGGATGAAGACGACGACGAAGATGGTGCCGTCCAAACGTTTGAGGAAGATGACCATGAAGTTAACTGCTTTGATGGCGCCGATGACCAAGCACCGCTGGTGTACATAGTAAAGCTATTGGGCAGGTAGTAATGACCTTCAGTGTCTAAATGGTAAACAGAAAGTAACTCATGAGACATTTATCATTAAACAATGCCAAGGTGTAATGARGAGAAATTGACACAAAAAGAGACAATGGCTTTGAGCTCATGTGTATTTTGTTGTATAATTTGTTTCACTCTATGTAATTGGTAACAAGTCAATTATAGGTTTGAGCGCAAGTTTCAACGCACAAGTTGAATCAAAGTTCATTTCACAGACATTATAAGAGAAAGATCATGGGAATTACGGGTCCTAACGTATATTTATGTGAATTTAAGTCATTTGTCGATTAAAAGCTCCAAACGGCTTTATCTAGCCGTTTGATAAATAAATAAAAGGAATCAGAATACGTCGTGSTACCGGTATTCGCTCCTTTGCCACTTCTTGCACAATCAAATACTTAATTATCAAAATCTTCAGATATATACACTGCATCATCAAGTCCGAAAACGTCTTAAAGCAATGTTTAATAAACGCATGTTGCTGGCAACCGCCAACTAATATAAAACATTATACTAACCTTCTTGACAAGTGGATCCTGTTTTACCAAGATCRCACACACAATAGCTAGGCTTGTTCATTTGTGGCTCACAATACCCATTGTTACTACAATTGGGACACGGATTGGCCAAGTCGCAGCCTGTAGCTGAGTTCACTTCCAGAAGAGGTTTATCTAAATCGTACATCAATCCGGAGTCTATTACATTGCGTATGCATCCTACGAAACCTGTATACTGGAGGGGTGGGTATTTGAGACTTGGATTTGAAACTCCTCCTAATTGCAGCGGCCATTGACCATTGAGATATCTATAAAAACAGATTAAATTAATCAGCTAACTAGGATATACATCGAACTCACTTCCCTAACTCCTTTAAATCTCCCAATTCGTTCATACTTTTTCTAAGGTATTCATTGCATTGTAKAAATACTTACAAGTCATCGCCTGGTATCACTCCTTCGATCTGACAATTCGCTTTGTCTTCTATCATACTACCATCGGGCTGCACTGTGTAAGGGGCGTAGGCACAATTGTCAATTGTCAGGACTAATTTCTGTCCAGAAAAAAAAGACAAGAAGTTCAAAATATGTGGAAACCTGGACACCTACGACAAACAAGCAACTCACTTCAATCCCCTGGAATTATTTATTAAAGAACACTTCTTGGCTATAGGTTCCTGATATACCATAAGTACAAAACCAAGAAGGAAAATTAAAGTATATAGACAGATCTTAACTTGAAAGTGACCTTTTTCCAGTTGTAGATCACATAGTTATTTCAATTGATTATCTGTTTATTGTGGTGTTTATTATGCGCTGTCTTTTGGTTAAAATCAAACAGAGAAATAAGTAGAATCATCCTGTGATAGCATTATTTAAGCAAAGATGAACTATAAGTCCAAAMACGTACCAGCAATAGTCTTTCCAGCTTGACGTCATGCCATTCACCGTCATTCAACATATTTCCTTTTGTCATGTTCAAGTAGATCGGTGCCACGCCTAATGACATTACTGCATGGACGTAACCTTGTATCAGTTGTATGGCCACGAAGTCTTGGGTTCCACCTGGACCAACTAAGAACATCAACAAAGAATGTACTCAATATTATTTACGTTTTAATAGCAGTGTACAAGTACTATTTCCTGGCGTTATAGGTACTACAGGTATGATATATAAGTTCTTTAAACTAAAGAACCTTAAAATCCATTAAACCTATAAAGGACGTTACCTTCTGAGATGGGTCCTTGATACAGCATTAGGCCATTTGCTTGTCTGGTGATGAACTCAAATTGTATTGTTCCAAATGAAGCAGACTTTAAATGGGTTAAGTGTATGTAGGAGTCTCCTTTAAATGATCTAGTCGTTTCTTGGCAAAATGGACCAAGTAGCCCTTGTTTACACTGACAAACAACACCTGTAAAACCATACAAGTCAAAACTATGATGGTCTAAAAATACAACCGCCTTCCATCGCCGGCAGTTTAATGTCACAGCTCTTTGCATCAGTTCATTCTCTTCTTTAAGTCGGAAAAGGATTCCAGTGCGCATTCCTGAAGTGTCGAGTAACCACTGAATGCGTACTGATGGGAAGAATTTCAATTTCACACATTCTACTCATTCTACTCACAGAAGAAGATATCCCAGAAAATGTATTCCCATTTTAGAATGTTGACTGCATAACTCTCTCTTAATTTGATCACACATTGTGATGTTGCAAGGAAGTGTGACAAGGAATATTATCCATAATGTATAATACCTGAAGGAGTGACATCATAGCACGTTCCCCCATTAAGGCATGGATTGTTAGTTGCACAGGTTGGCTCTTCTGGTAGCACCGGTAGGTGTAACGCTCTTAATTCCACATCGACAGATACAACTGTAAGTGATGTTGCCGGGGCTGGCACTTTACCGTAGTCCCCAGGGGCTACCCGATACGAGGTGAAGGGTACTGTTTGAGTTACACACACACCGACTTGCTTTGTGGTTTCATTGCACATATCAATTCCTACGGCATTTAAAGAAAGGCCTACAAAACATCAACAGTAAAACACCATAAGTATAATCATTGACTTTATTATGCAATATTTAAGAAGTATGTATCCTACGTTATGAATGGCTGGAGACCATGTTGAGAGTGCAAAATAGTAATYAATGGGAACAATTTCAATAAGAAATCAGCTTCATGAGGCTTGCATCTTTCCTTTTATATCTCCCCTGATATTAATTTTTTCATATTTCTACAATTCACGTTTTTTCATAATCCACAACAGGAAACAAGAACAATTTTACAAATCAAGACTTACCAAGGTCTGTAAAAGTACTGCGTCGTTCTGTAAGTTTTGAGATGATAGAAACAGTATTGATAAACAAGCTATTATTGTCCATGATAGCTATTTGTACGTCGACAGTAGGAACCGAAGCGTCCACAACCCGTTGAAGGYTAAAGATATACACGTTACTTCTCTGGACATAGAAAAGACTGGAAAGAAGATGTTCAACCTAAAGAAAAGTGAATAAAAACACACTTCCTCAATTTAAGCAGCAAGCGGGACGGGGAGAAAAATTATTTGTCCATAAAAAAAAGCACACCGCATCAACATTTTTCACACTGAATATCGTTCTTCAGACACAATAAGAGAAGACTAACCTTATAGTAATAATCACCCACAAAATACTCCACTCTCAGCATTGACAGTCGAAGGGTGACACTTGCATTAACTGACGCCCTTGTAACGTTACGAACAATTACGTTGATGGTCGATATTACAGTTTTAGGACTGGAACCTGACCTTGGSTTTGTTTCTCTTATAGATGCAATAACCGTAAAGTTCCCAAGTGGAAGATCTTTTGCAGCTGTGATGTTTCCAGTATTAGTATTAATCGTGAAGTAGTTCCCAGGGGATTGTGAGACAATGGTGTAAGTATTAACATCCCCAGTGAAGTCATCGTCCTTATAGTACGGAGTTCCGATGATCCCACCAATAAAAAGACCATCTAGAGCATTTACAATAATCGTCATCTTTCCGTTAAACGGTTCGTGGGTATTACCTTGGTCTAASACATCAACGAATACGTACGAAAAACTCGATAAAGGGGGATTCCCACTGTCCGTAGCCTTGACGTAWAGAGTGAATGACGGCGTTTTTGCTCGTTCAAATAATCCATATGAAAACAACTGAGCGGACGTCTGAGTAATGGTAGAGGCTTTGATTTTGAATCTGTCATTYAACGTTGAGTTTAAGAGGGTAAATGTGAATGGAGAGCCGTTGCTGGCTGTATCGGGGTCCCTCGCTTTTATAGTTGTGACAAATTGCTCTGTGTTAACATTCTCTTTAATAGTTGACATGTAATARGAAGGTTGAAATACAGGACCGTTGTCATTGACGTCTAGAACTTTAATATACACAGTACTTATAGCCGTCTGGTCAAATTCATCAGTTACCTTAACTTGCAAAGTRAATTGTGTCATATCCTCTCGATCTAATCTTGCTATTGTACGAATCGTAGCCAAGAAGAAATCTGTTTTGTTTTCTTGGATGGAAAACAACCCTTTTTCGTTGCCATTGGTAATTGTGTAAGTAAGTTGTTTCGTAGTGTTTTTCTGATCACGATCTGTAACTGACACCGTAACAACTTCGTGGCCAATAGCAACATCTTCTCGGACCTCAACGTTATAATTTTGTGTTGTAAAGACCGGCGGATATGTGTTGGCGTCCAAAACATTGATTATTACGTAGGCCTCTTTATGGGCTTCCAACGGTGGCATCCCTCTATCACGCACAGTTACAGTCAAGTTATACAACGACTTCTTTTCGTAATTAAGTATACCAGATACTGCGATTTTCCCAGTTGAAGGATGGATGTAAAAACTATAAGGTTCGTCGTTCCCTGCTATCACTCTAAATTCAAACATGGCATTGTATTTTTGATCTTTATCTGTAGCTGTTACTTGAGTGACAAAATGTCCTTGAAAAGCATCCTCTGAAACTTGCCCGTAAAAAAATCCATTCGTAAATTCTGGCCTGTTGTCATTCTCATCATAAACAAAKATATCAACTTTAACGGTGCTGGATAGTGATGGCGTTCCTTTGTCGGTGGCGCGGACTTCTATGGAGTAATTGGAAAAGTCCCCTTCGAGGTCGAAAGTTGCGAGAGATGTAATCTCTCCCGTTTGACCATTGATACCAAACTTATTGTTACTGTTATCAGCGAGAGAATACTCGATTTTGGTATTTCCACCAGCTTCTGGATCATCACGATCAATTGCCTGTATGATCATCACACGAGTTCCAATGGGTGCATTCTCGCGTATATAACTATGATAGGGTGGATTAGGGAACATGGGTGCATTGTCATTGATATCTGTAAAAGTAACTTTCACTCCTGCATTCTCGGTGTATTTTCCATCGGTAACAAACACAGTAAAGAGAACAAAAGGGATTTGTTCACGGTCGATTCGGCCATCAGTGTAGATGATACCAGTGAGCGAGTCAATACGAAAATACGCTTGCCCTGTTTTATCAAGTGAGTATTTCAACGGACTCTGCGTTGCTGGAGTGTCGACGTCCGTAGCTTGTACTTGAAGAACAGATRCACCGGCTTTGGTTTCTTCGTTAATTGTAGCTTCGTACACTATCTTGCTGAACAGTGGCTTATTGTCGTTAGCATCTTTGACCTAAAGTCGAGGGGTTACTACATTTTAGCTGATTAATGAAAATCTACTTTCGAACTCAGAAGATTAAAAAAATGATGAGTATGTTCAAATTTGTACAACACCATTGATGATGATGATAATGATGATGCATGGGAAGGGTGGTAAACTATATGAGTATGATGACACTTCAAATTCAGCTATATATGCATTGGTACTTGATTGAATTCAGTTTCCGTTTCCCTTTACGACTTACCGTTATAGTTAGATGTCCAAAGTCACTGGTTTTCCCGTCAGCTCCAGTGACACGTAGTTTGTATTCTCGGACATATTCGTAGTCCAACTTTTTATCYAAAATCACTTCACCGTAATTCTTCGGTGAAAACACAGTTTTTAATGAAAAGACATGTTGTCTGTTTCCTCCGGTTATAAAATAGTACATTTTAGCATTATTCCCAACATCTTTATCTACGGCGCTTAATTGAAATATACTACTACCAATTGCGGTATCTTCGCTAACTGATACAGCCATGTTCTTGTTTAAGAATTGGGGATTCTGATCATTACGATCGACAATTGTAATCACCAAATAAGTATAGCTCGTTAGTTTGGGTGAACCTCGATCAGACGCGCCGACTTCAACATAGTGTTGTGATTTAGTCTCCCGATCAAATACAGCATTAGTCCTGACAACTCCGTTACTGCTACCGATTGTGAACAGTTTATGACTCCATTTGGAGGTTAGAAAGTAATCAACACGCCCAGCATCTCCTTGATCGATGTCTTCTGCATCGATCTTGACGATTGGTGTCCCTTTAGGCGAGTTCTCCAGTACGCGACCTTCGTAGCTTTCCAAGGCAAATTGAGGTGAATGATCGTTAACATCCAGGACAGTTACATTCACAAAACATGTCTGATATAATCCAACCGAAGAGCCTGCCAACTCAACTGCTAGAAACTGAAGTTCGTAGTTTTTTACCGATTCGTAATCGAGTGTTGTTGATGTAACGATGACTCCTGTATTTGCATTTACACTGAACTCGTTTTTAGCCAAAGGATGTTCGTTCAGCGCCTCGTAAATTATTTTACGATTATTGAAGGAGAATGATTTAAGCTGAACAACAAACGTTCCAATCTTTGCATTCTCAGGGATTGAGGCTTCATACGTATACGTGCTAAACCCTGGAGGCTTCAAGGTCGTGACTGAAATTGAGACAGTGGCATCTGATACAGTTGAATCAGCAGCCTCAGTCACCGACATTGGAACTCTATTGGTAGCCTTTACGTTTAACAAAAAGTCACCACTTATTTGCGACAGATCAGTCAGAGTGGTAACTATACCAGTCTCTTTTCCAACTGCAAACTTGTCACTTTTTTCTTTTAAGGCATAATATACGTCACCGTTTTCAGCAAGGTCGTTATCATAGGCTGACACTACGGTAATGACGGACCCAATGGGTGCCTTTTGATAGATACTCGCATGATATTGGTGAATATGAAACTCTGGATAATTGTCATTAACATCAAGAATTGTAACCCTGAATACACAATGAGAAGACATTCTCTCATATTCACTAGCACCRTGACCACCGTCTTCAGCTCGAACAGCAATGACGTACCGTGCCTGTTTTTCACGATCAAGACTGAACTTAGTAGTGATTACTCCAGTCACGTTATTAATATCGAAGTAATTTGACCCATAAGCCAAAAAATATTCAACTTCTCCGTTTTTCCCCTTGTCCTTGTCGATGGCCTTAACCTGTGTGACGGTHTCTCCAGCCAAACCGTTTTCATATATGCTGGCATTGTTGCACACTGTGAATTCTGGTTTATGGTCGTTTAGATCGATAATGTTTAAAACAAGCTTCACAACTGCTTTACTTTGACCATCGCTGGCTGCCACATCAAATGTGTATTTCCAGTCTACTATTGGGTCAGGGAATTTTTGGGACAGGTATATCATCCCTTCTTCTCGATCAATGCGAAACGGTCCAGCATTACCTTCAGTCGTATAATTGAGTGGATCGCCATCTGCGTCGTTAGCAGTCGCGTAAGCTAATGGCTTTCCAACTACTGCATCTTCAGTAATTGAGAATACCAGTTCATTGCTTGCAAACTTTGGGGCGTTGTCATTTACTGGTGATAAAGACACATTTACAAAGGCACTCGTGTTCCTTGTAAACTTACCAAAATCAGTAACAGAAACCTTGAAGACAAACCATTTGGTTTTCTCATAGTCTAGTTCTTTTGCTGGAGACAGAACACCAGTTTCACTGTCCATTGAGAAGACGTCTGTGTTCTGTACACTGTATTTCAGTTGGCCCAGAGAGCATGAACAATCGTCACTACAGTCACAGTCCGTTGCAGAGACTTTGAGAATGGAACTTCCAATTGGGTAGTTTTCAGGAACAGTTGCAGTGTAAAGCATTTTAGTGAATGCTGGATAATGATCATTGTCGTTTAGAACCTCTATGTACACTTTGATGCGACTATTCAAGCCATCTGGAATGAGTTCCATTGCATAAACAGTGAGGGTATATTGCCTATCATTTTTTTCGTAGTCAAGAAAATAATTAAGGTGTATGTCTCCTGTCAACGGTTCAATCACAAAACTGTTTTTAACATTTCCACTTTCAATGGCATACACTAATCGTACACCAGACTTACTAATAGCTTTGACAGTACCAACGATTGCACCAGGTGTGGCGCTTTCCGGAGTTTCAAATCTGTACACTCTCCCCTTAAGACCCACGAATTTCGGCGGAATTGAAGCTACGTCAACATTGAACTTCAATAGAGAATTGTTTCTTCGAGGATGACCGTGATCAAAGGCAAAGGCCTCCAGTTCGTACTGGCTTTTATCAAGTTTGGCAGTGGCTTCCAGCCGATTCGTAATAGGGTTTAGTCCAAAAGGTGCCTTGCCAGGAATAAGCTGGTATCCAGGAAGTCCATTTCTTGTACTGTCAGCATCAGAGGAACTCACTGTCAGYACATTAGCTCCAGCACGAGAATTTTGATTTATTTGACCATAAGTTGAACGTACTGTAAATACRGGGTCATTATCATTGACATCACTTACAAATATGTTCACKTGCGAATCCAGATATTTTGCTTCAATTGATGCAGATTCGAACTCCCTGATTGCCAGCGAGTACATGACCTGTCTTTCAAAGTCAATTTCTCCACTTAGCTGAACTTCACCATTGTTGTTAACAGAAAATGGTGGATTTTGAGGTTTAATGATTTTGAAATTTCCTCCTGGGTAAAATTTCGGAATCATGGTGATTTTTGTTCCAATTTTGGCATTTTCCTTTATCGTTGCAAATATTGGTTGTTGGCCAGGATTCTCGTGCAAAAACTCGAGTTTGACTTTCGCCTTTTTCTCGTGAGCGGGTGTTGCAGAATCACTCACTGTAACCTCAAAAGTGATTTCTCCCTTTACATCGACCACAGTTTGTATCCCCTTAAGATTACCATCATTATCAATTGTGAAATACTTTTCACCCTCTGCAGATAGCTGGTAAGACAATATATCACCTGCATCAAGATCGAGAGCTTGGATTTGAGTCACAAAACCGTTAGCAAAGATTGATCGTCCCTCGACCAACTGAACTATCTCTCCATTTACTTCGCCAGGAAAAAACGGCGTGTTGTCGTTAATGTCGATTAGGTTAATCACCAATATGACCTTATCTCCTCTTCCTTTGGAGTCAACTGCAGTAATTCCAAGTCGGTACTGATTTTCTGTTTCAAAGTCTAAGGTCTTAGCAGATATTAAACTACCGGATAGCGAGTCCATAACAAAATATCCGCCTTCGTTGCCTGAAACAATGTTGAAGCTAAGAAGAGCTGAGGTGGCTGCACGTACTGTAGCAACAAGCCTACCAGGAGGAATTCCTTCCTTCACGTTAACAATTAAAGGCGAAACAACAAATTTTGGAGGAGAATCAGGTAATATGACAATCACGATCAAAGTTGAGTATCCAACTCGCTGTGGATTGCCCTGGTCTTTTACTTCTAACGATACATTGATACTGAGTTGTTGTACAGCTGCCAGGTGTTTCTTTAGAGTTATGAGCCCAATTTCACTTTCAATCCCAAATAAACCGTCTTCGTTGCCACCTACAATAGAATAAACAAGTTGTCCGTTTTTCCCACTGTCAGGGTCCGTTGCTTCAACTTGAATTACGACGTCTCCAGGCTTAGCGTCGAGTGTTTGTTCCGCAATATAAAGCAGAGTTGAAAAGCTCGGAGTGTTATCGTTGATATCTTTGACGTTTATTACGACTTTGGTCATGGCTACAGAAGAGACAAAAAAAGACAGTCATGATCATAGCACAAATCTACGCCTTTTAAACAAATCGCAAACAAATTAACCAATGAGACCCTATCAATTAGTTTACTAATTAGCCAAYCATCTATCGATTTCGATTTTCAGTTGAATGGTCGTCATGCACAAAAGAGCTGAAAACGAGTCTCAGGGTAAACAAAAGGATTATTGTTTCCCCTGAGCCTCGTCTTCAATTCTATTGTGAGTGGTTAGGCAATCAAAATATCGAAAGTGTCCTATTACTAGGTGAATTAATAAAACTACGTTTGGAGCGTTGGGATGTTTATTAACTAACGTTACAGTTGAATCTTCCGTATGAGCGGACATCCTTGGGAAACGTAAAAAGTTTCCGTGTGTTGCCGCTATCCGCCTAATAGAAAGTGTGAACACATGGTGTTGATTTGGAAGAAACATAAAATCGTGGTTTTAGAAAGCTCTCCATAATTAGATCTGTCCGCTTATGAGAGCATCCGCAAGTGAAGATTCCACTATATTTCCATTTTAATATTCTCACATGTGCTCKCTTATATGCTTCATTTGCATTACGACGCATATGAACTGATGCGGAGGTATAAGAAGATTTTCACAAAAAGGACRATACAAACCTGCAAGTTTGGGTGAGCCATCATCTTCTGCCTTCACGTACAGGATGTGCTTCTCAATGTCTTCACGATCAAGACTTCCTTTTAATGTGATCACACCAGTTTGAGCATTAACCTCAAACAGTTTTGCACTACTGTCTTCAACAGGCTGGGAAAGAGAGTACTTTATAGCACCGCTAGAACCTGAATCTTTATCAGAAGCTCTCACTTGAACAAYCTCTTTTCCTACAGCTGAGAGATGTGAACAAAATAGCAATTAGCTAGAAATACATATATATCATAATAGTAACCGGGATTATGTTTCTAACCAATGTTAAAATATAGTTACCAAAACAACTTACAAACAATACATCWCCAGTTCAAAATTGAAACTGYCAAAATAAGTTAGCTTCCGAAGCAAAAATTACGGTTTACTTTGAAGCCATTCTAAAATGTTAGAAAACCAAACAATTACCTTCATTTTCCAACAGTTCCACAGWATAGATTTTTTTGTCAAACACTGGTTTGTTATCATTGATATCTTTGACGTTTATCTTTACCCTGGTGGTGTCGGCTTGGTTATCTAGTGCGACCTGTACTTCTAAAGAATATGATGAAATCGTTTCCCTGTCAAGTGGTTTAGTCGTAGATAACGCACCAAGTCTGTTGACACAGAACATGCTATCTGTGTTTCCCTTAGTAATGGTGTATTTCAAAAGCTGTGCAGAGTTACCATAAGTGGCTTTGATGTTCCCAATCTGTCCAAAAAGGTGTGAAATAAAATTTGTGATGATTCTAGGGATATCAAGACTTATACAAGACCATCCAGATAAGATCATGGATGGGAGGTGAAAAATATTAAGCAATTCTAAGTTTTCCGGGTAATTGACTTTATATATAGTTTAAGCATAGACTGACTGTTTTGGGAACGGTAGAGGGGATCAGAGCAGCGGAGTAGCATTACGAATAAACAGTAATTGACACAAGCTAAGGTCCAAAGAATAATTACACAGGAACAAGCCTGAATTAAGTCCAATAACTACCTCATTGCCAACCATGATATTTTCTTGTACTTCAAAAGTGTAMTCGTTGAGAGGAAACTTTGGTGGTGCGTTAACAGAAAGAACATTCACTTTCAATGTCATCGAAGTAGATTTTCCACCTGAATCCGAGGCCTTAATGGAAATGCTGTATGAAGATCCTTCGGAATATCTATCAATATGGACACAAATATGACACATAAGTGCTCTGATTGGTTGATTAGTTATCTTACTCGCTCGCAACGCCATAGACCTAGTTCCATTCATCTTTCAAAATTTACTTACATAATTACTTTTGATGTTTTCACTTCCCCAGTGGTTGCATCGATGCTGAAGGGGACACTTTGTGGATTACTATTAGATGTATCAATGGTGTATGTAACTGGGCCAAAAGCGCTTGAATCAGCATCTTCTGCAATAGCCTACGAACACAACGATTTCAAATAGTGTGAGCATAGATGGACTACTACAAAAAAGGCGGGAAAATGATGCTAACGTCGCCAATTTAAGATGCCACTCATACATAACCTTACCTTAAAAACCTTGCTGTCTTTTGGAGTATAACTCTTGATAACAACAACTTTAGGAYTTTGAGACAAAAACTTTGGTGCGTTATCGTTAACATCCGTCACTGTTACCTCCACCGGCACGTCTTGGGCCAAATTTGGACTTGAACAAGTAGCGCGTACTTTTACCTTAAAACTGCTTTTCAATTCGTAATCAAGAACTTTGTTTAWAGTAACACTCCCAGAAGTGCTGTCCACTCGAAATTCAGAACCATCATTTCCGCCTACGATGGAATACGTTATTTTCCCGGGACATGTAGCCTGCACCTTCGARACGTCAGTTCCAATAAAAGCTGACGATTCGGATATCGATTTCGTATAAGGAGTCCCTTGGAATTTTATTCCGTAACTTGACGTACTGTAGACAGAGACTTTGACTGTAGTCTGGCTTTCCTTAACAGGAGTTCCTGAGAAGATAGAAAAACAGGAGAATCAATGACTTTTCTCCTTTCGTGGATGAAATATTCATAATCTTCCATTGCTCCCTTGATGTTGTTCATGATCGAGTTGCGCACGCATGATCATATCGGCAGCAACATCGAATAGGGGACGGGGCAATCTATGAGTTATTGAAAACTAGACCTAATGAATAACAACCACAACTGAAACTATATATCTGTGCGACGTTATCAGATTTGACATTACTGAATTACACATAATACTTCGACTTCAATACTGGCTTGTTTCATGTTTGAATGTGCCGAATATAACAAAATACACGTGCGGATAAGTACATGTCAGTCACACTGTGAACTTTGTCTTTTTAATCTAATCATACCTTGATCAATTGCCTTAACATCGAAAGAGTATTCACCAACACTCAAAGTTCTCTTTGTAGTGATCACTCCAGTTGTGAGATCGATAAAGAACTTGAGACCACTACTGGACATCAGCTGGTATGATAGCTGACCGTTATTACCACTATCCCTATCCGAAGCATGCACTTGGAGAATAGAGGTTTCTATAGACGTTGAAGTGGACACAGATACCCAATAATTKTCCTGGTCAAACACTGGGGCGTTATTATTCAAATCRTTTACTTTCAGAGTTACAGAGGTGGATGCATACATGCTTGGGACGTCCTTGTTTGTTGCAATGACTATAAACCCAAATTGAGCGTCGTTGGGGTAGGCAAGAGTTTTCGTAGTTACCAAAAAGCATTCTGCTTTAACTCGYTTGAGTTGGAAGTAATCYAGTACATATGATGAAGGCACTTCTTCCATAGAGCAMTCGTACTGATCCGGCTTTGAGTCAGAGTCTTGGAATTCCATCCCGCTCTTGCTTGTCGTTAAGAGTGTTGTACCTTGTGGACTGTCTTCATTTATGGTAAATTCATAGCTTGTCTGCTTGAAGCTGGGTTTGTCRTCACTGCCAGTAACTTTTATTTTTATTGCTGCCAGGGCAGTTTTCTTGTTATCGTTGACTGCTTGCACTTTTACGTCAAATCCAGACTCAACTTCATAGTCGAATGACCTCAAGACGGAAAATTTACCTAAAGAACACACAAAAATCATTATCATGGAATGGTCAAATTCATATGGGTAATAACACGCCTTATGTGGTACGTAGTAAGTCAGAAATTCAATTTGCATTAGTCCTAAGTTTACAGTAGTAAACCTACTTACCYGATGTTGAACCAACTGCAAATGTTTGGAGATCGCCGGTTTTAATGGAATACGTGATCAAGCTATCTGTGGCACTGTCTGTAGCTGCAAGACAGATTAAACTGTCTATTTTTCCCATGTCTTCCCTTACTTCCACACTATAAGAGCTTGTAAGGAATTTCGGTGCAGTGTCYGCTGATTTCACTATCTTGATGTTAACCACAGCCTGGGATATACGTTGGCCATTTTTTACTTCAATAGTTAGCTGATAGGTGTCTTTACCACTGACACKTGTATCGAGTGTTTGTTTTGTTCKTATGACACCYGTGTCTACCTCGATTTTGAAGGGGTCCTTAGCATCTGGGTTTTTGATTGAGTATATCAACCCAGAGCTGTCCATATCTACRGCATGTAATACSGTAACAAAMGTATTCACAGGGGATCCATCAGGGACTGTTCCGTTGTACTCTGCCTTAAGGAACTGTGGATACTGATCATCAACGGATACCACGTTGACTACAATGTACAGTCTTGATTGGATAGGAAAGTTACCACTGTCATGAGCAACAACAAGAAGTTCAAAATGCTTGTTYACCTCTCGGTCAAGAAATGCTTTGGTAAAAACCTCCCCGGTATTTTCATCTACTCTTAAATAGGAAATTCCCTCGCCAGACATAGCAGAATAAATAAGTTTACCGTCAACACCTGAATCGCTGTCTGTAGCTGAGGCAGTCATAACTGACGTACCGATTGGGGTATTCTCCGGTAGATTCAGTGGGCGAACTGCAGGTTGGAATATCGGTGGGTTRTAATTTTCATTTACATCGATTACATATATGATAAGGAAATTAGATGTTGACTGTGCTGGAGAACCTTTATCAGTAGCTGTAACAGTTAGATTATGTATTTTCATTGATTCATAATCGAGTTGAGATTTGAGTGTAACCAAACCAGTTTCACTAGACATTTGAAAATTGTTTGTASTATCTCCTGATAGAGAGTATGTCAATTGTCCATTGGGTCCAGGGGGATCGTTGTCTGTGGCGATCACTAGTGTCACGAATCCCCCTACTGGTAAATCCTCCCTGACACTGATGGCTAAGGCACCAGATTGGAAGAATGGGGCCGTATTTTTGCCTTGATTTTGCACATCCTTCGGTGGAATGTGTGACAGGTCTTTTTGAATTGTGAGAGTAACTTTGRCGGAAGACTGCTTACTSTCCTTTCCTCGATCAATAGCAAAAACCGTCAAATCAAAGACATTTTGAACGCTGTAGTCGAGAGTATGAATGACTTCRATATGTCCGTTGACTGGATTTACCGTAAAATAGTTGGACAGGGGATTTAATATGTAATAGACGCCACCATCWCGACCACTGTCCTTGTCCACAGCGTGAACCTCTAATGCTGTAGACATAATTTGAAGCTCTTCACTAATGTTGCCTTTGTACTCGTTCTTCTCGAATACAGGCGCGTGCTTATTTTCTGGTGAGACRGTAACTACGATTTTTGTGGAAGCTTTCTGACTCGGCGTTCCATTGTCCTCTACCTGAACRACAAGGGTTATCTTCTTATTGCTWCCGTCACTAGTTAATATTATTGGGGTGTTCGTCGTTTTTACCTCCAAAAAKATTTCATCACTAACTTTTAGAGTTGATAACTTAAAGTAACCTTTTTCATTTCCATCGATRATTTGGTATCCTTTGATACCAGAGGTGTCTTTGTCTTCAGCATGRCAATTCACAATTCCTTTCACTTTAGTATTTTCCGGTGAGTTCTCCATGATTGTTCCGTTATAAATCTTAAACCCAAATGTAGGAACGTGATTGTTAATGTCCGTCACTTCCACTTGTAAGGTGAATGCCTGTCCACCCGATGCTTGGCCTCTTTTCCTTTTAACAACGGTAATTTCATAAGTGTTTTTCCCAGTTTCATCGAATATCAATGGCTGCTTTGTGGTTAATACACCATACACGGAAATCTCGAAGAGTTTTAACAGCTCAAGTGACTCTGTATACCTCGAGTCAAGTACTTGATAAACGTCTTCACCAGTTGGTGTCGGAAAACGGTAAACAACATATCCCCTTGGTTCATCTTCAGGTACAGAGACTTTGATAATGGTTTGTTCGCTAGGGATGCAACACACCGCCAACATCATGCACAAAACACCTACACATCTTCTCAAGCTCATTTTGAAACAAAATATCCGCTATTGGTTCCCTGTATTTTAGAGTTTTAACATTCCCAAGAGTTTCATAACTCCATGCATTACATTGTTCTCAAATGTGTCTTGTTAAGGAAGCTCTCACATAGGTCTGGTATCTTCCAGAAAAACCTTGGAGGTTAGGCGTTGGCAAAACAGTGAATTCAACAGGTCTTATGCACCACAAAACAGCTCGTTCTAATAGACAGCTCGTTAATTCTCGCAGTAGGACACTTTACCTACTGCAATTTGTACATGTACACAAATAACAGAGATACCGGAATCAATAAACTGTGTCGGTTGATGTTGTGATTTTCACGCTGTTTTCAGACGCTGTGCACATGGAAAATATTGTTTCTCTCTGCTCTTTGCTCCAAGTAATGTTGAGTAAGATTTTGCAGGCTTATGGGTTTCCATAGGAAGCTATATTTGGTACCGTGCGCCTRAGTGTATGAATAATGCTTTGCACGCTATTTCACGCAAATCGCTTAATCCCACTTATAACAACAACGCCAAATGYGAAATCGACTCAAACTGCACTAAGAATTCCCCTTTATTTGAATGGTGTTATTATATAAAGAATTGACGTCTTTGTACAACTCTAAAAAAATAAACAAAATCAAAATTATCTCTTATATTTCCCAAAAATTACATAAAAAATTAACTGAACTTTGCTTGGTTTTCGTGACTAACGTAAACATAACAGGTCATTTACCGCAATTTACAAAATAATTGATAGGAACTCTGTATTATCAACAGGTTAGTTTCTTCTCGAAGTGCTTTATTGATATCTCCTGATTAAAAACAAAATCGATGGAAAAAGGGAAAAAAGAAAGTGTAATAAGATATTTTTTATAGGTTGCCATCATTGCCCTGACTAATACGCCCACTTGGGTCATAGTAGTCCCGCTCGGGTAGTTCGAAGCACGTCTCTGTAAAGTACCTCGGTTAAAGTAGGTCAACGAAAGGAAAAGTTATAATTTCACTTTCTTACTCGTGAAAGCAYAAAACGTGAAATATACACAGTTTGAATAATACACTTACAGTACAATGGAAGCAAAGCAAAATTTCCGTTTCATTTTTTTTCTTTTTTCTGTTTTCAACTCGCTGTTACCATGAAACAAACATCCATGAAACAAACATTAAACTATTTATACCAGGCGGCGATAGAAAAAATATCAAGAAMGTTATGCGACCTTGAATAGTTAAGACAAACGATAGATTTCCTTGTTTTAAATAAAAAAAAAAGAAACAGAAATTCAGTTATATAGCAGGTATATAGCAACCACACAGGGTTGCGCAATATCAAAAAGCGTTGAACAGATAATGCGTTAGTTATGTTGTGGTTATTTGGTAAGGTCTCTTTATAGACATAACTTATTGTTACTTAATTTTGTTTTTTCTCGTGTCTCATTGGTTACTATACATAGCGTCTACCAAAACTAATAATGGATAATTCATCACCAAATCTCATTATTTTGCCCAGGTTAAACCAGTAATATAAACTAAAATGACATTCTTTCACAATCAATTAGTCTGTTTACTATTAAAGGATTCAGAAATTCAAGCGATCATCACTAGCCTCCATTGCAGACGTTTTATGTGGTTTATAGCTGAACTCCATTGTGGGGTATTGATGACAACTTCATACAGTGGGTTAAGCTAACTATGGCTCGTTAGCACATTTCGTGCKCTGAATATCACTCAGTACYMACAGAAGTACATATAATGYACTTCTGGTACCCAGCAAATTACATCATGCCGGCGGAATTTTTGCATTTGCAAATTATTTTTTTACGATTTTTTACGATTTCAGGTTTGAATAGCTTTTGTACCAGCGCTTGTTACTTTTTTGCCTTGTGCTCCTTCATTAATTGGATTATAGTAATTTGACAACCTTTCATTTTATGTCGCCCACAATTTAAGCCTCTGGTTTTATTAAGACTATATACTTACTGCATCGAACTTTTATTTCGTGATACATATGAACATATTATAAGTTGATCTTGTACAATGGCCTTCTTATAAGGTAAATAAGCAATATTAAAAATTGAATTGAAACTTTTGCATACAAAMTGAAATTGGTAATGAAACATTCAACAGATTCAATRAAGCATGTGTCAAATACAATGCAAACACACAACTCGACTTCGGCTCGACAAAAATGGAAAGCTATGCAACATTTAGATGTTTCGGAAACTCAGTAATAAAAGCAAGGATACCCAATTTGAAAACGCACGTTCACGACTACAAATTATGCCAGTTCCCAGTAGGGTCTAACAAGCGTCGTGACCATATTCTAGTATAACTGGGTTACCTGTGTTTTTTTATCCCCTTGAGCATGCGTCCTATCAACTTTCAAGATGGCGGACGAAGGACAAATTCAAGTTCGATTTTTTACCCAACAGAAACGGTAAARCAATTTTCTGAAAACTTCTGGAAGTAAAAGTTTAAAAGGAATAGAATAATGCAAGACATATGTTTWCACAGTTCCAAAAAAATCGTTTTTCAAACATGRTTAAAACGCGAATACAGTTGTTGAAAAAGCACAGACAGCTTTCCACACGTGTTTTAGCTTATTTTCTCTTCATTTTCAGATATGCTATTACAGACTCACCATTTTCGATTCCAGCYAAATCCAGTCAAGATGAATTAAATGCTCTTGTAAATGGATTACTCTCACAAAATGATGACGGTAAATTATTGTCTGAAATGAACTTTTTTAATTCTCCCATCACGGTTTAAGCTTAATATGTCTGACTGGGCTCTACCTCTGACTTCTATCCTGATGTATCTTATGCAATGGTTTTACTGTCATTATACTATTCAAAAGTTTTATTTCTTGTCAATTGTTTATATAGTGTGTTTATATATTATTGTTTTGAATAATCAGACACTGACGAAGACATCACTCAAGATGTGCAGTTTGACTTCCTCATCAACAATGAATACTTACAAGACAATATACAAAAACATATGGAAAATAATAAAATATCAACGGTAAGATTGTTTTTTTTTTATCATGTAATACATGGTTGATGCCTCATGTACAGAGTACAACAACACAATCATGTTGGGGAAGGGAGGATGCAGCAAAAATGAGAATGCATGCCTASAAGTARAAACACCATTACAATGTTGTGTAGGCCTTTTAACATGTTTTTTTTTTTTTTTACATTCCAGGAAAATGTTGTAGAAATTGAGTACATAGTMAAACATGAAGCACCACGACCAGACAACATATTGGTTCATGATGATTGGGTTAGCTGTGTCTCTAGCTGTTCTAATTGGTAAATCTTTACCATGACTTTTTGAGTATGAAAAACTGAATGAATTACTAGATGAATGCTAATAAGTGTATGGATATAACAAAATGGGGTGTATAAGAAAGTTTAAGAGATTTTGTAGTAATATTTTTTTAATGTTTTTAGCATAATTTCAGGGAGTTATGACAACAGTGTAAATATATGGAATTATCAAGGTATGATATTTTGTAGTATGTTAAAAAAAAGGACTCTAGAATTATTATCCAGTCATGGGAACACTATTCAAAAGAAGAGAAAGAGGAAATACAAAGAAAACAATACTTTGTTATAACATTAATTTTGATAGGGACTAGCCCCTGTAGCAGACGTTTTTAGCGGTTTGATTATACGGAGGCTACATGTAGATAGGGACAGTGTTATTATTGTACTTTTTGATTGGATGGAAACCTCTTCTTTTATAATAGATTACACAAAATCTACTTATCATTGAATTAACTATTACACTATTTTGTGTCATCTATTATAAAAGAAGAGTATTCCATCCAATCAAAAAGTACTGATAAAGATCCATCTATTTGTCATAAACTAAATAACTATTGACTGCCTGCGGTTGTAATTATGCAATATGGGAAATCTTTATGATGTTTAAAAGGAGTGAATACATGACAAGCTGTTCTGAGCCTCTTTCAGATTATATTGTAAAGATTATTTTTCTTTTAAGGTGACATCTTAAACACATATGTAGGACACAGTGGTCCAGTGAAAGCAGTAGAATGGATATCTAAAGGTACATAAAAAATCAAGATAACTTCTTTCCTATATTATTCGTCTTTTGTCAATATTACATCAACAATGTTGTAWGGGTACATCTTGAGTTAATGGTTCCCCTTTCAGATGAAAATAAAGGAGTTATACTAAGTTCATCACAAGACCAATGTATACGCTTATCACAGGTACAAAGCAATCTAATAGTTTCAAAAGCTTGTCGGAACTTTAGGAACTAGTATCACACTCTGGTGACCAGTGGCGTCAGAAAAAAAAATCATCCCAGTTGAATGCTACCATTTCATGTAATATATTTCTAATTTCTAAGCACTTATATTTTGATGGGTTTAACTTATTTATTTTTGCATTTTTTGTTTTGTTTTTGTTTTGTAAATTCATCAAAAAGAATGTTTATTGTCATTATAACTAAATGTGCATTTGCCTTTTTTTGCAGTGGTCATCTATAAATAAGACTATCACTTGTGTGCATGTGTGCAAAGGACACTCACAAAGTGTTGACTGTCTTGCAGTCGATCCTTCTCTTACACGGGTAAGGTTGAGCAAGGTTGAGGGGACTATTGTGTTGATAATCCATGWGACCGTGCTTGGCAAATGGACTATCAACTTGTAGTTAACATCTACTTTTTTTAGTATTCACCAAAGTATAGAACAAATTGGACAAAAGAACTTGTACATCAAAAACCAAATGTGTAATACGTTTTCTGTTTTAGTTTTGTAGTTGTTCGTGGGACAAGACAATAAAGTTGTGGTCAGCAGGTATATTGTAGAATATATATGCAGAATATTGTTTGAATCCAAGAGATCAAAATCTAACGATATCCGGTATTTTACACAAAAGACTGTGCAAGTCGTTTCACCGAAGTATCAAACCTTTCACACAATTATTCTTATATCGATAAGTAGTCATTTCGCACAGAAAATAATACACCATATGAAAGGATGAAAGGTACAATCTAATCTATAACATATATCATTGGATGAAATCCAATGGCTTTTGTGGGTTTTGGGCGAAATGAGCTGCATTCAATCTAACAAACAATATGTGCTACTAGTTAACTAAACAAAAATCAACTGTAATTGGACTTCACTGAAATTATTGTCATGACGACCAATGAACTTGATGTGTGAAATGTTTTTTTATATTAACGCAATGCATGGGTTTGCAAAAGTGCTACTTTGTGAAAACATTAGAAATTCTTTTAACACTGATATAATATTTCACATTTAGTTCCAGACATAGAAGCTTCTGATGAACCAGATAATGAAGATGGAGGATTCAAAAAGAAACAGAAAAATGATAAYTTAAATAGAAAACCAACTACACGAGTAAGCAAGCACCACAACAAAACGTCAAAACATTTTGAAAAAAAAAAAAACAAGAATTTTTCCCTATTGGATTATGACATCACATCAAAAAAGTATGGATGTCAAAGTAGACAGAATCATAACTAGATCAACGAAAAAAATATATAAAAGCATCCTGCTAGCATTGGTATTTAATTTTCTCCATAGTATCTGTGATCATGTAGAGAATTCAACTTGTTCTGTAGATATACATGTAAGGTTGCAMAATCCTTCAAGAAGTTGAGCCCTCATACATTTTCCTACATGCACTTTGTGGAGTGCAGCCCCTTTATGCGAGTTGGAACTGGACTGCTGATTTCAGAAAACATGAGAATCTTGTCTTTTTCAGCAAATTCATTAAACATAGTGACATCATAATGCAATAGGGGAATAAAACAAAGCAAGGATAAAAGCATACCTGTCAATACTGCTGTATTTATTTTTTTGTCAATGTTTCTCCTCAGACACCTTTAATGACTCTGTCTGGTCACACACAAGCAGTGTCGTCAGTGTTGTGGATGGACAAGATAWCAATATGTAGTGCAGGATGGGATCATTGTATTCGTGTCTGGGACATGGTGGCTGGAATAAATAAACAAACCTTGGTAAGCAAACTATTACATATGACTATTGTGTGCAGTTCCTTGATGGTATTAGCACTATCAATGGTTATAATATAATAGTCGACTTTAGATATTTCGGTTCAGTGACCATGCACAAAGAATTGCAGACGAGGCTCCGGGGAAATAAAAGAATAAATCAAGATTATCCATTGTTTCCCCGGAGCCTCGTGTGCGTTCTTTTGTACATAGTCATCGAACCAAAATATCTAAAGTTGACTATTGCAGTTGAGTTGAATTATCATCCAAAAGGAGGATAAGTTATCTATTGGTTAAATTATCCATTAAATGGATTTTATATGGGATTTTATCTACTGCATAAGGATTCATCTTGTGGATAGTGCTATTTACCCATTGTACAACCAGCCCCTAGAGGGTAAAAATTCATACCTGACTGAAGTTGAATATTGATTTAAGATCCCCGCTCTCTTCCAGTTTGTAACCTTAGTTAATTGAATGAAAAAATAAATAAAATGCGCATTAAAGCCATATTGCTGGTTTCTTGAAATAATTTCCTAATCAATGGCAGATTCAGGGTTTTTCTCATTGGGATTCAGATTTTCTACTTTGTTGCTTTTACTGTATAAGTGCTGTTCATTTGAATGCAAAATTATAAGAATTGTAGAGAAAAAGGGTTGCAGAAGACACCTTGGCACTAGCTGTAGATCCACCACTACTAATGTCATACCATTTTTGTTTGTAGACTGGTTCTAAAGTATTCTGTAGTATAGCATACTCACCTTTATCAAAATGTCTGGCTTCTGGCAGTGCTGATAAGTTTATTAGACTTTGGGATCCTAGAATAAAAGGTAAAATGTCAAAAATGGTGAAAAGYTAATATTCTCATACTGTGTTCTTGCCACAGTATTCAATCATATAATATTACATAGAAAAGAAAGTGTTAGCAATTAGTTTTCCATGTAGTTTGCCTTTTACTCAAGGAAATTTTGCTGRGTAATAATCCGTGTCAAATACCTTGGAAACCCCTACTGTGCTTAGTGACATTTTGTCAGTTGTGTCTACTTCCAATCTTCTTTTTCAAATCATATTTGGTATTATGAAACCATTATTTGGAAATGGGATTTCAATAGAGGCCTTATGGTAGTAGGAATTGAGGATACAACTGAACACAATGCTGTATTTTTCTTGTCATTAGACTATCACATGTATTATTTTGTTAACCAAATAGCTGTGTTTTACAGATGGTCAAGTCATTAAAGGAACACTGACATCTCACCAAGGATGGGTCTCTTCATTAGCATGGTCRCCTAGCAAYGAGTTTGAATTAGCTTCTGGTTCTTATGATAACACTGTAAAATTATGGGATACAAGAAGGTAAAAAACACAATATTTCTTTCATTATCAATTTTAACCAATTATAATGCATCACTATCTACTTACAAACCAAGTGAGTATTTTCCAGTAGTCAGAAGCCTAGTGTATTTTAAAAAGATGTGTAGAACTACAGTATTGAAACAGTTTGTCATACCACTCTACCTCTTAGTGAGTACATAGGACAGGCTCTAATTTGAGAAAAATGTTTTAATTGATGAAGTAACACTATATTTTTCCATTACGTAAAGCTGTTATTTTCACACACAGTCATGATATCTTTATGTAGTGGAGATAAATAAAAAGTCACTTTAARAAATTATTTGCTTTCATTGATAWKATRAATAGAATATTACATGGTAGCTTGGAGATATGAATTTTATCTTCTCTTGCTGAAAATCTCTCYGCTCATAARAGATCTTTTCAACACTCAAAGATAACATYTGTATCYGCACGGGCCCATTTAATATCCTCTATGTATTCATCCATTTCTATCTGTTTTAGTCCATATACACCCCTTTATACTATGACTGGACACCAAGATAAAGTCATGTGCATTGACTGGACAAGATCAAAGGTAAACAGTAAATTTATACTATGATATAGTGTGTTGCCATAGCCTAATAAATTCCTGTTATATTTCAGTATGTGTTAAGTGGTGGTGCGGACAACCAGCTGATCATCTATGAAGTGTCTGGAAATACCTGGAAGGCACCTGAACTAAGTGATGGAGACTCACATTAGCCCAAGACATATCCAGGAAATACTTTTATAAACCTCATTAAACCTGTCATTTCCATCCTTAGAAAGTTGAAAACACATTTCTTGATAGAATAAATCACATCAAAACAATAGATTGAAACAATTAACACTCCTAGAAGTTCATTATTTGTCAAAATGCCAATGTTATTGCCAAAGAGAGACTCACTGTCCTAGTATTTTAGAGAATAAAATCATCTGTCAATATTATCTTATCCAGTTTTCATTTCTTCACTTAGCTTTCATTTGTACACAGGATTTGTGCTACACCTTGAATACTTGAAAAATCCTGGAATTGAAAGCTTGTTTTCAAGTGCGCTTGAAAAGCCCTTGAAAATGGGATGAATAGCTAGAACTCATGGAAAACTCCTTGAATCTGATGAAATTGACATGTCATGATTGTTAGCTTTTGGAGTGAGTGTRGCTATTTTTGGAAAATTGTCACTGAAAATGTCCGCAAACATCAACAGATATCTTCAAAAACAGTCCTTGAAAATTGCATTTTTGTGCTTAAAAAGTACTTGAAAAGTCCTGRTATGTAGCACAAACCCTGTAAAAAGGTAKTGAAAATGTAGYATGAACCCTGTGTACATTTTAGCAAGAAATGCTTTASGCATATACGYAYGTGGGTACTAGTGGCAAGGAAATATTAATAACAAAACTCTTTATTATTGTACTATTGATATTYTTAGTAGTTGATATAAATATTAGTTACATAACTGAACTGGCAATATCAAAATGTTTGACAATCTTTGAGTAATCAAAATAATGGGGATATTCCCTTGTTTAATAATGTGTGACCCTCACTTGGTTTCCCACACAAATGAATATTTTTAATCCAGAAACTTTTCTTTGTGAACCACTATCTTTTCACAATAATTTGATGAATCTTATATCTTTCAATCTTGAAACAGAGGAAACACGAGTGTTGACAAGACCACAAACTCACTACTGTGCTGTTGGTCATGAGATGAAATTATTTATTTCCAGGCTGAGTGAGACATGAAGATATTGCAATCTTCTCAGGAAAATGTAGAAAAATAGAAATCCCCAATAAAAATGCCCGAATCTGTTGGTCCCCCTCCAATCTGGAATGCTTTACATATATACACCTACTTGCAGAAATGTTGTCATAGAAAATAGAACACTCGAATTTAGTAAAAAGGAATAAATTAAAACAAGACAAAAGAAAGCGTTCAGCCTCAGTGATCTTCTTTTGTGTTTTTAATTTATTCCTTTTTACTAAAATACAAATGTCCTATTTTTTTATGACAACGTTTTCGCCAGTAGGTGTATAACAAAATAATACATGGATGGGAAATTTGCACAGAAAAGTTTTTGGATTCAAAAATACCTGCAGATATGTTTGATGGGCCTTGGACTACATGAGGTCAAAATACATGTGTATTGAGAAGCTGCCATAATCCATCTAACTTAGTACATATTAATTACTTAACCAATAGACAACAATTTCCAGGCATTTTGTTTTCATTTTCTGTGTTTYCTAATCTTTTTTTTTTCATTTTATAAAATAGAATTAAATACAAACRAAACAAGTGTGAATGATGTCATATTTACAAACAAAACTAATATATTAAATATTATCTTTTTGGAATACAATAACTTTAYAACTCAAACCTATCTATCCATAACAGAGTGCCACAAAAATACTTTTTCTAATGTTTGGTATTGCCAAAAGTAGCTATCTACCAAATTTCAGTGTCCTATTTCCATTTATTACAGAAATATACATGTAATACAAATATACATGTAATACTGGTAATACAAATGCTTTTAAATTTGGTGTGTTTCATTATGAAAAAAAGCTAGACCAAGTTTACCAGCATATGTATGTGGTCACCCTATAGGACAMTGACATTTAGCAAGAAAGCATTGGAAATGCTGCYCTTTCAAAATATGGAGAACAATTTTAAAAACTCGAAAAAAAGTTTTTGTTTTGTTACTTTATCTCTTTGGTACTCTAYGTTGGATGGCTCCCTTGACATGACAAGTGATGCATYGTAATGAACTGGATAATCTAGATGCAAACAAACAAAAAATAATATAATTATGTAAGACAAAATAAAAGCATCAATGACCAAATAAATTCCATCTGTTTTCCTGATCCCATTGTTTTTTATCATTATAATTTTTTCGAATATATTGTAAATGCTTACCTGAATTTAAAATAATCAAAATGTCTCAGACTCAATGACTTCTGCAACCTTTGATACGATCTCTGAAATTTCTTTGCTTTTGAAACCATTGGTTCCGCATAAATCTTTAGCTTTCTTGAGATAAACCATCAG